TATATTTTTCATATATACATACATATATAATATATGAAAAATTGATGTGGGTACTCAAATGAAAGGTCTTGATGAGTGTCACATCGGGATGAGCTTATTTCTTGAAAATGTCAAGAGTTCTCAAATACAAAGTAATCTCTTAATTACTAACATTTTTAAAGATATAAGCTCATTTCGATGTTTCACTCATCGAGACCTTTCATTTGAGTACTCACATGGCACTTTTTATATATATATTTTATATATATGGTATTTGTGAAATATATAAATATATAAAATATATGAAAAATTGATGTGGGTACTCAAATGAAAGGTCTCGATGAATGTAACATCAGGATGAGCTTATTTCTTGAAAAATGTCAATAATTCTTAAGATACAAGGTATATTTTTTAATTATGTATCTTAAAGACAAAATTTTTATAATTTTTTTAATTGAAAAAAATTCGACGTAAAAATTGTCTTTTTATAAATTTGAGATGTCAAAATATTGTTTAATTTAACAAATATTTTTTTTTTTTATTAAAAAAATCAAAAATCTCTAAATATCGCTAATTTTATTTTCATACCGGCCTCTAACAAATAATCAAAAAGTGTGAACGCCATTTTGAGAATAAAAATTCTAAAAAAAAACTGTCAAATTTTCGTATACGTAAATAAATATAAAATGAAAAAATAAAAAAATTTACCACAGTTGGAACGAGCCATTGTCAAGAGCACTGCCTTTAATTAATAAAATAAATGATTTATACTGATAAATAAAATTAAAATCAACTGATTATTGAATTGCTTCCAATGCTAGCTAGGGACCAAAGGTAAGCAGCTCGATAAAACCAGAATTATTTTTATTAAAATTATTTTTTAATACTAATTTATTTAATTATTAATAAACTTACTTAATCTGTGTTCCTTGTGTGTCCTCAGCTTATTTTAACTGGTTAAGCAACGAGCCTTCTCCACTATCTTCCATTCACTCCTTTTCTTCATAAATTTTTTTTTATTTATTTTTTAATTATTATTACTACTTAAATATAAATAAAAACACCTGTCTATTAATCTGTCAATTACCATAATTATTTGTGACATTTATTATATATCACATTTATTTATTTATTTAAGAGTATTAAAATAAACACCACCGAGTTATTCGTACTAGCAGTATTTTAGACAATGGTAATGTCCAACAGTTGGTACCCCTACTTTCTCTTGTTGCATAGACTCAATACGCACATACTATGATAACTGTTAATTGTGTAATTGCTTATTGTCTTTCTGTCTCTATTTTTATTTTTAATAATAATATTTATAATATTCTGTTGCTTTTTTTCAGCACTTGTCAATTTTTACAGCTAGATATTTTTTTAACAGCTGATAAATTTTTCTGCATACTCATGTTCATAACCTCACTTTTTATTGTACTGAAGTTAACTGACAACCGCAATTTTTTTTTTAATTTTTAAAAATAAAAAAAGTATTTTTAAAAATTGGTTTTTTAATTTTTACATGTTGGATTTTTTTAATAATAATTTAGGGTAAATACACCAATTACTGACCGATAAAGGTTTTATATTTCTGTACTAAGCTATAAAAAATCTATAAACCTACTAAAAACAATTTGTAATGGATTTTATTAAAGTTAAATACTTAATTAATAATAATTAATAACTATTTATAATAAAAATTAACAAAATTATATTAATTTTGTTATTTGAATGTTGAAATACTAAAATCACCAATTATTGACCGAAGAAACCCAATAAATGACCGACCGTTCTCCAATTAATTATTGAGCGATAAAAAATAAGAAATAAAATTTTTTTCTCGAAATTATGAGTCACATTGTATTTAATTGTTTTTTTTTTTGGATGTGACCAAAAAAAACTCAATTTCCATACTTCCTAAAATTATCAATGAGTGAAATAAACAAAACCAAAGAATTAATCTAAAGGCCTTTCATTGAAGCTTGTCGGATCCTTATGGTAAAATAGGAAATCCACATAAAATCTTTCTTATTGCAATCTTTAATTCATATTTTCATCTGAAATTAATACTTGGATATCTGCTTAGAATATACAATTTCTCATATGTGTGATGTAAGTGAAATCCTATTAGATTGCAACCGGGCCATTCCAAATTCAGATCTATATTTTCTTATGAATATCGTGATTAATTTTGTATTTGAATTTACTGATTGATCCTCATAGACACCAAGAATGCTATAGAATCTTAAAAGATTGTAATGTGTTTTTGTCGCTGGAATTCCAAACTGGTTTTTTTAAAACACAAATTATTTGCTAATTGGAGATCCTTCCATAATCCCAGATTTGAAATGATCCTGTATTGGTAATTCCTTGTAGATTACCGACTTATTATTTATCGGTAATGACTCATGAATCCCTATATTTTATCACTTGGTTATTACCGATAAAGAACGATAACTATACCCAGTTGAAAAATCCAAATAAAAACCCATCAATTGTTCTATTAGTAATGACGTATAAATTCTCGAATCTTAGACAACTCCTTATAAGAAACATTAGAATCCTATAAGTTTTCTCCGTATTAAATCCACATTTTTACCGAAACCATTCAAATCTTATTCATTCCAATTAGAACAAAAGTTGTGACTGGATTTGCTCATACATTCCGATTAATTTCAACCTCACCTCTATCGGGAAATTTTTCGTTCCAGATAGACCATATAGAAGCCCATACAATCCTTATCGTTTTTTATGAGTTTCTATTGGACATTTTCAACAGGGTAATAATGTATCTAGAGAATTATTTTTAAATTTATTTTTTTTCAGATTATTGTCAAAAATGACGCCTCTAGAAGTAAAAACACCTCACAGTGGCCCAGACATCGAGAACTGGGTGAATGACGGCGTACCTGGAGCGTCTTTGTGGAACAAAAATGAACGTTACTTCTGGTTCCATCATTCTGAAGGCGACACAATGGACGTAGAAGCTCCCGACAATTTGGATATGGCAACGGCGCTTTTTGCAGCGACTTCGTATATTATCGCTGATATCAATCTTGATTTACCTCGAAATCCATGATCAAATTTTTATTTTAATATTACGGCTTTCTGATTGGTTTTAAAAGAAAATTATAAGATATTTTTCTTTTAGAAAGTAAAGTTTTTAACTTTTGATCAAAATATTTTTTTATATAACCAATATTTCCGCCGTAATATCAAAAATTAAGATTCATAATTAATAATTAATTAAAAAAATTAAAATTCATAATTAATAATTCAATTTTTTGGTACGATAAATAAAACATGACATTAAAGTTAGCAATCTCTAGAGAATTTTTTAATTTTTTTTAACAAAAAAAAAATTATTTTTAAAAAATTGCATTTTTAATTTTTAAAAATTTTTACATGTCAATTTTTTTTTTCTTTTTTTGCCGTAATTATTTTGCTAAAAAAAATTCTAAAAATTATTAAAAAATTAATGTCATTAAAGTTAGCCGACGTTCTAAATTTTTTGATTTTTTTTTTAATGATCAAATTAGAATAAAAAAATTTTTTAAAAAATTGCACTTACAGTTTTAGAAGTTTTTTAGACGTGCAATTTTTTTTTTATTTTTTTGTAATGATTTTTTCAATAAAAAAAATTATAAAAATTTTTAAATGTCGGCTAACTTAATTTTCATAAAAAATAAAAATTCCTAATTATTAATTAATAATTAAATTTTTTGGTACGATAATTAAACAGCTAATTATTTTTTATCTAAAACAGTAATATATATTTATTCTTAACGGTATAAACATCGAAAATTAAAAATAATTAAAACTACATCTAAATTATCACTTGGCAATAACAACAATCCTAGGAATAATTTTTTTATTACAGTTATAAACCAAAGCCGGTTGTTAAATCAGCGTGTCCTCATCTTGGGGCTGGAAGACCATCAGAAGAGAGTGTTGAGAAGCGGTGTGCTGTCTAGAACTCAGCAGAGCGGCCTTCTCACCTCCTGGATTGTTGCCGTTGAGAGAGCCGTCGGGAGAGCTGCCGTCGAAGACCATGTTGGTGGTGGTGCTGCTGGTGGAGGGCTCGTTCAGGTCCGGAGAGGCCAGAGGAGGTGGGTGGGCCTCCCGGCCCTCTATCGTCACCAGCTGGATGCTGTAGGACTCGCGGTAGCCCGACGTGCTCGAGGTGTCTTCGTCGTAAGACACGTCCGAGGCTGGGTGCAGAAGATTCACTGGCGCGGGTGATAGGTTCATTGTTGGAAGACGTTCCAGGTCTCCGGGGCGCATGGAATAGCTCCTGCGCGTGCGCACTGGCTCTGTTACTGATAGAGTGACGCTACCGTCTGATGTCGCTGCTGACGCTGGCGGCGTTTGGGAGGTTGGCACTACTGGTTGAGGCTCTTGTTCTAGTTTCAAGTGCGGGATCTAAAAATATTTATTTATATGAAAAAGTTTGTGTCTAAAGTACATAATTAAGAAATGACCTTGTATCGTAAAAACCATTGACATTTTTAAAGATATAAGCTCATCATGATGTTGCACTCATCGAGACCTTTCATTTGAGTACCCACATCAATTATATATATATATATATATATATAATTGATGTGGGTACTCAAATGAAAGGTCTCGATGAGTGCAACATCATGATGAGCTTATATCTTTAAAAATGTCAATGGTTTTTACGATACAAGGTCATTTCTTAATTATGTACTTTAGACACAAACTTTTTCATATAAATAAATATTTTTAGATCCCGCACTTGAAACTAGAACAAGAGCCTCAACCAGTAGTGCCAACCTCCCAAACGCCGCCAGCGTCAGCAGCGACATCAGACGGTAGCGTCACTCTATCAGTAACAGAGCCAGTGCGCACGCGCAGGAGCTATTCCATGCGCCCCGGAGACCTGGAACGTCTTCCAACAATGAACCTATCACCCGCGCCAGTGAATCTTCTGCACCCAGCCTCGGACGTGTCTTACGACGAAGACACCTCGAGCACGTCGGGCTACCGCGAGTCCTACAGCATCCAGCTGGTGACGATAGAGGGCCGGGAGGCCCACCCACCTCCTCTGGCCTCTCCGGACCTGAACGAGCCCTCCACCAGCAGCACCACCACCAACATGGTCTTCGACGGCAGCTCTCCCGACGGCTCTCTCAACGGCAACAATCCAGGAGGTGAGAAGGCCGCTCTGCTGAGTTCTAGACAGCACACCGCTTCTCAACACTCTCTTCTGATGGTCTTCCAGCCCCAAGATGAGGACACGCTGATTTAACAACCGGCTTTGGTTTATAACTGTAATAAAAAAATTATTCCTAGGATTGTTGTTATTGCCAAGTGATAATTTAGATGTAGTTTTAATTATTTTTAATTTTCGATGTTTATACCGTTAAGAATAAATATATATTACTGTTTTAGATAAAAAATAATTAGCTGTTTAATTATCGTACCAAAAAATTTAATTATTAATTAATAATTAGGAATTTTTATTTTTTATGAAAATTAAGTTAGCCGACATTTAAAAATTTTTATAATTTTTTTTATTGAAAAAATCATTACAAAAAAATAAAAAAAAAATTGCACGTCTAAAAAACTTCTAAAACTGTAAGTGCAATTTTTTAAAAAATTTTTTTATTCTAATTTGATCATTAAAAAAAAAATCAAAAAATTTAGAACGTCGGCTAACTTTAATGACATTAATTTTTTAATAATTTTTAGAATTTTTTTTAGCAAAATAATTACGGCAAAAAAAGAAAAAAAAAATTGACATGTAAAAATTTTTAAAAATTAAAAATGCAATTTTTTAAAAATAATTTTTTTTTTGTTAAAAAAAATTAAAAAATTCTCTAGAGATTGCTAACTTTAATGTCATGTTTTATTTATCGTACCAAAAAATTGAATTATTAATTATGAATTTTAATTTTTTTAATTAATTATTAATTATGAATCTTAATTTTTGATATTACGGCGGAAATATTGGTTATATAAAAAAATATTTTGATCAAAAGTTAAAAACTTTACTTTCTAAAAGAAAAATATCTTATAATTTTCTTTTAAAACCAATCAGAAAGCCGTAATATTAAAATAAAAATTTGATCATGGATTTCGAGGTAAATCAAGATTGATATCAGCGATAATATACGAAGTCGCTGCAAAAAGCGCCGTTGCCATATCCAAATTGTCGGGAGCTTCTACGTCCATTGTGTCGCCTTCAGAATGATGGAACCAGAAGTAACGTTCATTTTTGTTCCACAAAGACGCTCCAGGTACGCCGTCATTCACCCAGTTCTCGATGTCTGGGCCACTGTGAGGTGTTTTTACTTCTAGAGGCGTCATTTTTGACAATAATCTGAAAAAAAATAAATTTAAAAATAATTCTCTAGATACATTATTAAGAAATGGCCTTGTATCTAGTGAACTATTGACATTTTTCAAGATATAAGCTTACTCTGATGTTACACTCATCAAGACCTTTCATTTGAATACCCACATGCATTTTTCATATATTTTATATATTTATGTATATTATATATATGAAAAGTATACCAAAAATGCATGTGGGTATTCAAATGAAACCTTTTGATGAGTGTAACATCAGGATGAGCTTATATCTTCAAAAATGTCAGTAATTGAAAAATTACCTTGTATCTTGAAAACTATTGACATTTTTAAAGATATAAGCTCATCCCGATGTTACACTCATTGAGACCTTTCATTTGAATACCCACATCAATTTTTCATATATTTCATATATTTATATATATAATATGTATGTATATATGAAAAATATATGAAAAATGCACGTGGGTACTCAAATGAAAGCTTTTGAAGAGTGTAACATCAGGATGAGCTTATATCTTCAAAAATGTCAATAATTAAAGACTGACATTGCTATCTTGTCAAGTAATGACATTTTTAAAGATATAAGCTCACCCTAACATTGCTCTCATCGATACCTTTCATTTGAGTACCCACATCAATTTTTCATATATTTTATATATTTATGTTTATTATATATATGAAAAATATACCAAAAATGCATGTGGGTATTCAAATGAAAGCTCTTGACGAGTGTACCATCAGGATGAGCTTATATTTTCAAAAATGTCAGTAATTAAGAAATTACTTTGTATCTTGAGAACTATTGACATTTTTAAAGATATAAGCTTATCTCGATGTTACACTCCTTGAGAGCTTTCATTTGAATACCCATATCAATTTTTCATATATTTCATATATTTATGTATATTATATATATGTATATATGAAAAATTTACCAAAAATGTATGTGGGTATTCAAATGAAAGCTCTTGATGAGTGTAACATCAGGATGAGCTTATATCTTCAAAAATATCAATATTTAAGAAAGTACAGTGCAATTTAACAAAA